ACAAATATGCATCCTTATTTTTATCTGTAAAACTTGAGCTCCATGATAAGAAGTTATGTTCTATACAACACTCAATTTGGCCAATGTGCCTCGAAAGCCATAATATCGCTATCCTTCAACCTTCCCCTGTGATATTACCATCCAGCTCTCATCCCTTATGTTAGGTGAATTATGTGTGTCGCCTTTTGTTATGCCTTTCGTTTCCCAGCGGAAACACAAAGAACGGCGATCGCCTAATTATAGGATGCTGCTTGCAGTTTATTTAAATCTCACTTCTATCGCAAAATTTTTATTCTCGTTTCCAGAGAGGCCTTTCATTTAGCCCAAAAGGTCGGACTTTGTTCTGCCATTATTAGCCAGACGATTTAGGACTGACCTCTTTATATATCTTTTGTGTTGGGAATGTACGGTATGGGCGGTTAATATAATTTTCATGAAGTCAATTGAAGTGTAGAATACATAGCTAGTATGTAGAATACATACTTTTAGGTTTTATTTGACTACTGCACTAGAGATATACAGAGTAGCCCAAAAGTCTAAAAACGGTCAATTATCTCGTAAAATTCTAATCATAATTGTACAAAATTTGAGGTACACCTATTTTGGGATACGGAAATTCCATATTTGATATTTACAATGTTGCCAGATTTGCCGTTTTTCTTATATTATTAGTAACTTTGGTTTTTCAAATACATCACCCTGTATATTCAGTCATTATTGGAATCTTCTATTTAATACGAGTTCAACCACATGTAACACTTATGATTTTATGTAATCTGGAAGGTCATAAGTACATAAAACCGAAGTCTGGCAACGCGTAAATTGTTTCAATAAATTTTTTAATACTAACTATTTTCAAATACATTAAAACGTAACAATCGATAGTTTAGAACATTTTTTAACATAGTAGTTACGGTATTAAGTGTTCAAAATGTGCCCAATTTGTGAGTTGACAGCACCCTAATCGATGGTAGAAGGCGTCTACCATATTTCTCCATGATTGTCTAGAAATTATTCGAGATTCATTGATAATTCGTTGCCTTAGCTCTGAAAGACTTGCTGGTTAAGTTTTGTAAACTGAATTTTTCAAGTGTCCCTAATAAAAATAATCTTTAGGATTAAAATCGGGTGAACGTGGAGGCCATTCAATTCTACCTTGTCTACCAATTTATCGTCCAGGAAATATCTCATCTAAATATCGCCGAACATTTACACCAACTATCTGACGTTAAATTTCTTTCGACAAAAAATGACCCAATTGAATAAGTAACTACTATATCTGACCATACATTTAATTTTTGTGGTCTTTGAGTATGGTTTTCACGCATTCAGTCTTCAGTGTGAATTTACGTCACACCAGTACCTTAAATTGTGTCGATTTACACTTCCACACAGTGTAAAAGTTGCTTCATCGGAAAAACATATTCTTTAACGAAATTTTAATAATTTTCAATTTTATCCATCATTACCTCAGTAAACTCTAATCTATGACCAAAGTCATCTTCACTTAATTCTTGCAATAAGTTAATTTTATATGATTTAAATTTATTTTTACGTAATAAACGTAAGACTGAAGAATGACCTACATCATGTACTTGTGCAACCCTGCCTGGGGATGTATGTGGATCTTCAACAAAACTTTGCTTATATCTGAAGTTTTGTTGTCATTGATAACTCGTTTCGGTCAACCTGATCGGTATCTATCTTTTACTTCTCCAGATTCCTCAAATCGCTTTACAGTTTTTTGTACCGTCGTCTTATGAATAGGAGAACGATTTAGAGAACGGCATTTTAAAGAAGCAATTTAAATTGCAGAACTTTCTGAACCACAACTACTGTCAATTTTAGTTCATAATTTAAATGGTGAACAAATGTCAAAACCACAGCATTCTCCATTTAAATATTTAAATTTATTAAAATATTTTGCACTGTTTTATGTATTTAAGCTCTTTCAGACTACATAAAATCAAGTGAACATATGGTTAAACTCGTATTGAATAGCTGAACTCGTGTGAAATTTACACTGAATGCGTGAAAACCATACTCAAAGACCACAAAAATTAAATGTATGGTCAGTTATAGTAGGTACTTATTTAATTGGGCCATTGTTTATCGAAAGAAATCTAACGTCAGATAGTTGGTGTAAATGTTCGGCGTTATTTAGATGAGATATTTCCCGGACGATAAATTGGTAGACAAGGTAGAATTAAATGGCCTCCACGTTTACCCGATCTCAATCCTAAAGATTATTTTTATTAGAGATACTTGAAAAATTCAGTTTACAAAACTTAACCAGCAAGTCTTGCATAGCTAAGGCAATGAATTATCGATGAATCTCGAATAATTTCTAGACAATCATGGAGAAATGTGGTAGACGCATTCTACCATCGATTAGAGTGCTTTCAACTCACAAATGGAGCACATTTTGAACACTTAATAACGTAACTATTATGTTAAAAAATATTCTAAACTATCAATTGTTAAGTTTTAACGTATTTGAAAATAGTTAGTATTAAAAAATGTATTGAAACAATTTAGGCGTTGCCAGACTTCTGTTTTATGTATTTAAGACCTTCCAGACTACATAAAATCATAAGTGTTAAAATATGGTTGAACTCGTATTTAATAGGAGATTCCAATAATGACTGAATATATAGGGTGATGCATTTGAAAAACCAAAGTTACTAGTCGTTTCCAGACTTTTGGGCCACTCTGTATATTATTAACCAATTATCATTAAATAAAATATTATTTATTCTCTTCCATTCCAATGAAACACCCTATATATCGTTGTACAATATTAATTTAGGATTAAAACATTGAAGTAAGTGATTTTTACAGTTTTATTTATAAAAAAAGTATCAGACGGCGTCGTTAGCCAAATAAATTTCACTTTTAGTTAAGTTAAAGTTACTCAACAAATTGACGTTTTATAAAATTTATCATTCCCCCAATCAGCGGTGCCACAACTTTCAATAACAATCAACGGAGTCGCCCGTTGAGAGCATTAAATCCAGACAAACAAATTTAACAAATCTCTTCTGATAGCGTTAAATACGGGAATAAATTCACGTCACTCCTATCCAATTATCTTTTGGTGCTCGTTCTCCCCAAAAGATTTATGGATATTCACTTGTAGTAACGTCCAAGTTAAGAAAACATTGTGCAATGCAACGACGGAAATACTTGGACACATGTCTTTTATATTAAATGTTTTCTAGATGCAAACTAGTTGTTTATTTTGTTAGGGTAATATTCAAGTTTTGTGTGTTTTTATATTCTAGAAAGAATGCAGCTAATCCTACGATTACCCAGTAGTTTATGTTTAACATAATCTGTTACTTTACCCGCCTAGATATTTCCAATGGTATCTAATACTTATTATTGCACATTTCTCTATTGTGGTTAGTTTCACTACTAGAATTTAAACTGGAATTGACACGTTTTTCACTATCATACAAGTTCGAACGGTTTGGTGCCTTTGAGCCTACCGAGTTGGTCTTGATTATATGCAAGTTCTAACACTTTCTGGATAAATTTCTGTAAGAAAGTTATCCAAGTGTTGCTAGGCCACTGGTAGCAAACAATTTCTAATTTCATAAGATCTACCAAAGTAACTTTTTTCGAGCAAAATCCAAAGAAATCACTGGTATAAAGGTATATATTTAAAATGGGGTTTTAGATATATATATATATATATATATATATATATATATATATATATATATATATATATATATATATATATATATACACCTTGCGTCTTGCGTCGTTGTCCGATGCCTAATTTCCACGAATTTCTATCATTCCATTGTTCTTCGGTCAAGTCTCGGGAGCTCATTGCCTTTGTTATTCCCTCCTTCCATGTTCTTTTTGGTCTTCCTCGTTTCTTACGATTTAGTGGTAACCATTTCATGGCGATTTTTGGTAGTCTTGTTTTTGGCATTCTTTGAACATGGCCATACCGTATAAGTTGTTTCCTTTCTATGTCTGTTGCCAGTGATCCATCTAGCCCCATCCGATTCCTTATTTCATCGTTTCTAATTCTGTCTGCCCTAGATATTCGAAGTGATCGTCTAAATACATCCACTTCTGTTGCTTCGAGTTTTCTTTCATTGCTTTCTGTTAGTCTCCATGTCTCTGTATTATAGGTTAAGCTGATTTTTATGAGAGATTCATATATACTGTATTTTCGTCTTTTACCAATTTCTGAGCTCCAAAGAACTCCGTTAAGGCATCCAATTGTTCTACGGGCCTGGGTTATTTGTTTTCTAATTTTCCTATTGTCTGTGCCTGTGGTGTCGAAATCAATTCCTAGGTAGGTATATTCAGTGCAGAATGCAATTTCGGTTGTGTCCATCTGAATGTTGGATAGTTCTGCGCCTTTTGGGAGATATTTTGTTTTTTGTGTATTGAGTTCTTAACCTCACTTTTTGTATTCTTCCTGTAGTTTTCTGGCTATATATGTCAGGTCTTCTTTATCGTTGGCTATAAGGACTTGATCGTCTGCAAACTGTAGGGTATATAGGCAAGTTTCTCCCAGGTCAATGCTCATTTCTCTGCACTTTCCCTTCAACTGATACAGTGCCTTCGCCACCTAGATTTTAAACAATGTGGGAGATCCTTCATAAAGCTGTTTAAGGGCGTTAATTACTGTGTGGTTAATGTTTGTTTCCTTCAAAACTTTCCATAGCTTTTTAGCGGGCACAGTATCATAGGCCTTCTGAAGGTCTATAAACATAAGGTGGGTTTCTTGCTTGGTACTTGATCTTTTTTCTATTATTTGTTTCAAAAGTAACACATTATCGGTGCAGCTCCTTGCCGCTCTCAAGCCAGATTGTTCCTCTTCTTCTTGTTCCTTATATTCTTGTTCGATAATGTCTCGAAGTATCCTTCCATATAGGCGACTTAAGGTACTGGTTACTGATATACCTCAATAGTTTAAGAAGTCCAGTTTACTTCCCTTCTTATGTATAGATGATATGAAGGATACTTTCCACTCATGCGGGATTGGTGCGTGCATTGTTTAGATATTGGTTTATACAGCAGGTTAATCGTTCAAACAGTTTGTTAGTGCCGCATTTGATTAGTTCTGCTGGAATTCCCTCCGGACCTGCAGCTCGATCATTTTTTAGTAGTTGTATCGTTTTTATGACACTCCTCTCATCGATGTTTATCGTTTCTTCCTGTATGTGTATTTCAGTTGGAGACATTTCTCTATATTCCTTTCTGTTTTCTGTTAATAGATTTTCGTAATGTCGGATCCAGTTCTCTGTTGTTATTAATTGTATGTTTGTTTCTCTTTTTTCATTTGATTTAACTTTTGTCAGGAATTTTCACAAAAAAATAACAGATGAGAAGAATGAGAAAAACTAGAACAACAATAGATAGATACAAAAACATAAGGAGAGAGGAAAAACGCATACACCGAGAAAAGAAACGAGACTCGGATAATGGCATATTAAAACGGCTCGAAAGCCATATGAGTCACGGAGAAACAAGAAAGTTCTATAATCAAATAAATATTATTAGAAAATAATTCAAAACAAGAATCAACTATTGTAATGATAAGGAAGGTAATTTACTTACCAACAAAGAGGATATCCTTGATGATGAGTAGAGCACTTTCAAGAGTTGCTAGAAGGGGAACCTACTAACAATATAGAGCTGGAAAACCAAAATGAGGAACTCGTGGAATCCCCCTCGGTAGATGAAGTGAAAATATCTATAGAAAAACTAAGGAACCAAAAATCCCCAGGTAGCGATGGCATCCCAGTTATTTAAGCACGATGGAGAGCAGTTCACCAAGGTGATGCAAAAACTTCTTTGTAAAATTTGGTCTGAGGAGCAAATGCCTGAAGAATGGAGCTTAGGCTGAATTTGCCTGTTACATAAAAAGGGAAACCAACTGGAATGCAATAATTACCGCGGAATAACTCTCCTAAATACAGCATACAAGATATTGTCAAACATTTTACATAAGAGAATAAAATCTTATACCGCAATGTTTCTATTTAGGAGAACATCACGCAGGATTCAGGCGTGGACGTTCAACCATTAACCAGATCTTTACACTACGACAGATCCTCGAAAAAGCGCAAGAGTTTAAGTAATATGACAGTGTCTTAAGACCAAGTATTTACAACGCTATGAATGAGTTAGGAATTACAAAAGAACTCTATATGTTTGATAAAAGTGACAATGACGAAGATGCTATCAGCAGTAAAAATTCGAAGTGGAAATCGGAATGACAAATAAAACTTATTTTAAAGTAAAATTGTGGCTTATTACCAACAAAAATAGTAATGGAATTATGATGCTACGTGAAAAAACACTGTCAGACTGGTAAAAATATATAATTATTGCTTCCACAAAATGCTATATAATTTTATAAACAATCTTGATAAGAAAACCAACTTTATATAAAGTAAATTAGTGTTAAAATTTTTTTTGTTCATCCATTTTTCTTTAAAAATTCAATTGACAAATACTTTATTTATTTCTTTGTTGTAATATTAAAATTCTAAACGCACTCATCTCCTTTAGTACGAAAAAAAGAACTTGTAGATAATGGAAAAAGTTAAGAGCTCGTAAATCTTTCGACTGATTAAGTTGACTATAGAAGTCACAATACAAGGAGGATCAAATCTACTGGCAAAAGAATCTAAGAAACTGTTTCTATTGTGTGACATTAAGATAAAAGAATAACAGTGATAACAGTGGCGTCTCAAAAAATATAAAATTGTATAATATTTAATAAAAATTTAGAATAGGTTACTCATCATAATCAGCATCATACAGCCTGTGTTTGCGTCCATAGTAGAACATATTCTTTTTAATTATTTTTACCTTGTGCCGTTGAAATCCAATTCGTCAAGATTCTGTATAGCGGGTGCGAGGTTTATCTTGGCTGCGTTTATTACTCCTTGGTCTTGCTTACAAAATATTCCTTGTCCATCTTTCACTCATCTTCATTTTATCCTTGTAATAAGTACGAGAAAAGTAACTACCTCTGACTTTCTACGAACCTCTTCGTTTTTTAAACTGTCTCTCAGTCTTAGGCCAAGTATTGAGCATTCCATTTTTATTTTGTTTATTTTTAAATATCTTGGAATTTTTTGGTAAGGGGAAGAGTTTTGACTTCGTATATAAAGACTGACAAAACACACTGGTTAAACACCGAATTTTGATGCTGATGGGCACTTATGATATAAAAATGTATTTTAATTTGCCATAAGTGGCCCATCTCAGAAATATTCTACTTTAAAACTTAAATCCTAAATATCTCGTGTGTACCAGTACATCGTCTATGTATCTCCACCAATATATAAAACTGTTTGAATACGGAATGTTTTGAAATCTTTGTTTCTAGATGATCCATAAAAATATTTGATAGCGATTGCCCAAAAACTTACATCGGTCAAACTGGTAGAACCTTTAACAAACGGATAACAGAGCACAAAAGGGCTTTTATTAATAGAAAAACAGATTCTCTGTATGCACTTTACGTTCTAGATCGTAATCATTCTTTTAATGACCAATTTCAAAATTTTTACACTCAAAATAAACGCCTTAAGCTATATAATACGAATGGTGTGTGAATTAGCGTAAAGATGGCATGGTGATTGACGGGGAGTTGGCGCGAACATTTCTGACAATAGGATTTTGATTGGCTAATGAAGCAGACGATATTTTTTTATGACAGTTCTTAATGTCGAAGGTATGCCGTTATCTATTTTATTGAGACAATTTTTCCTTTTTTTTCAGTTTCTATGGCTTCTGGGATAAATCTTGGTTTATAAAAGAGGATGAGGGCTATGGTTCTAGAGTTTTTAAAACAATTTTGAGGCCTTTATGAAGATGGTCTTGACCTAGACCTAGACTTAAAATTGAATAGGATTGTGAACAGAAATGGAATGTTCATAAATCCTATTTTGAGAAGTCTCTATTGCCATTCGAAAAAATCTTAAAAACCATATTATATCGTGGACAGAAGTAAATAAACAACTGCTAATACTGAAAATGAAAAAGAATGGACACAACATCGTAATTGTCGGAGTGTATGCCCCAAATGAAGATGCAGATCCAGAAAGTAAAGACAATTTCTACAAGATGAATGAAATACTCTCTAAAGTTAAGGAAAACTGTAAAACCTTTATACTTGGAGGTTTAAACAACAGTGTAGGAAAAAAAGAAAATAACAGAGTCGTAGGAAGATATAAGGAACAAATAACCAATGACAATGAAAAGCGTCTTACAGATTTTTGTGAAACAATGTCTCTCAAAATTGTGAATAGCTTTTTTCAACATAGAGACATCCACAAATTTACATGGTTACAACCTAATAGGAATCTGCGTTCGATAATCGACTATGTAATCCAACGTCAACCTTTTCAACTAAAAACAACTGACGTAAGAGTATACCGTGGATCAGAATGTGGATCCGATCATTGTTTACTTATGGCCAACGTGATAGTTAACTATCACAAAATCAGTAACACTCAGGTACAGACATCCTCTAAATATAACCTAGAAAGCTTAAAAGAAGATTCAACAAAATTTCTTTACAAATTACGACTGGTCACAAAATTACAAAATGTGGATCGAGAAAATATATCAGTGTAACAATTATACCAGCAACTTAAAAAATGCATTCATAAGGCTGCAAGTGAAGCTTTGAGGTATAGAGACAAACATGAAACAACGAGAAAGGAGGAAGATCACAACATATATAAAAAATTAAATCGAGGTGTAAAAAGAGAAGTAGTGAAAAGTAACAATGAAATGTGGGATCAAAAATGTGCAGAGGTGGATAGGTATATGTGAAGAATAAGAGTTGGGCAAGCGTGGAAGGTGATAAAGTCTCTCCGGAGGGAAGGAAAGCAAAAATAGAACGTACAGTTAATAGATCTAAAACAGAAGAAACATTATTATGAGGTCTTACTGACAGAGAATATATGTAAATTCCAAGAGATTAAAATGAAAGAAATATCGGAACATACAAAATAATTAAGATAACAACTGGAGAATTAAGTGGTGGACTCAAAAGATCGAAAAACGGTAAAGCAGCAGGACCTAGAGACATCCCAATGGAGTTGGTAAAGTATCGACCAAAAATATTACATGAGATGTTGGTTTAACTATTTAACAAATGCTTAAAAGGACAAAATATTCCTCATGATTAGAATGTTGGATATATCAACTCAATATTCAAGAAAGGGGATAAACGTAAATGCTCAAATTATAGGGCAATAACTGTTATCTACTCGGTGGGGAGGTTATACGGTCGAATAATAAAATAAAGAATAGAATCAGAATACGAAGACATAGAAGAGAAAATGGATGTCGTGCTGGAAGATCGTGCACTGATAGTATATTCATTCTACGGCAGGTAATGGAAACGAAAAACGAAATGCAAGGAATCTATCTGCCCACCTATTGTTTGTAGATTTAGAGAAGACATACGATACGGAACATAGACATACAAATGAAGAATAAAAATCATTTATTTTAAATAATAAATCCAGCATTTTTTCTGCTGAAGCGTGTGCTATATACAAAACCCTTGAATTGTGCTGTGAAAACCAGTGGAACAAAATTGTCATATGCAGTGATTCACTGTCAGTATTGCACTCCTTACAAAACTTTAAATTCACAATCAATAGCAACATATTCATATTAGAAATTTTTCAACAGTTACTAAAACTATCAGATCCATATGGTACTAAATTTCTGTGGGTCAAGGGACACTCAGATAATACTATTGCTGATTCTATAGCTAAAAATTCAGTACAGCACCCACATATGGTGATAGAAGAATTTAACACATGTGACCTACTTGCCTGTATCAAACAACATATTAAATTTAAATGGGACAGACAATGGATTCAGTTTGGTGAAAGCAGGGGCACTAGTTTATACAAATTACAACCCACAGTAGATGTAAAACAATTTTACAAAGATGTTACACTAAGCAGAATCACAGTGTCAACTGTCTTAAGATTAAAAGTAGATCATGGATGTTTTCCGAAACATCTACACAAAATAGGAGTTCTCCCAACAGACCGATGTGAGTGTGGAACAGGTATAGCTGATTTAAATCACATATTCTTCAACTGCCCACTACATCGTAATACAAGCACGTGGCTGATAGAAGAATTGATAAAAGAGGGATTAAGTTCACCATTAAACGTAACTCTCCTATTAAGTGAAGGTAATTAAAGGTATGAGTGTAAAATTGATCGTATGCTTGAACATTTCCTTTATATGTTT